AACATGATTGGTATAAGTTTTACAGGATATCAGGTTGAGTAACTATTAATTTGATAATCTTATCTGTTTCATTTCTTTGTAAAAAATATTTTAACTTACTTTTTTATTAGGCTGCCATGAAAATGGATGAACCAGACGTAGCTTTAAGTTACGGTGGTTTTACGTTGACCTTAACGTTTGTTGTCTTCCTTGAAAGTTGGCCGGGACAGCAACTATTGGATCATACTGATCGTATTAGTGAATATGTGTAAGATAGTGATCATGTGCATTATTACAGTTCAAACCATTTTTGATAGGATACAATATATAGATACAAAATACAATAAAAATATTGAAGGAATTGATGCAAATACTTATCCCATATTTCTTTTTTAATTTAGTGTGAGAGGAAAATGGTACCAATCATCGTTCACTACTAGAACAGACTTAAAAATCATGCTAATGAGATGTGTAAAACCAATTCAATTAACTGCTGGGAAATTATACGTATTAAATTTAGAGAATTTTAGTAAGGTAAGATTTTTATTACATCCTGTAGGATAAAAGAAATTAATTTTAAAATCTTATTCATTTGTGTCAATAGTGGATTGTTAAACGATGTTATTTATTTCAAGGTTGTCAAAACGTCCTTTTCATATTTCACGGTTTTGCGCTCTGTACAATAATTATTGAAATTTATGTTAAATTCACGAAAAATATTATAGAATTATATAATTTTTTAGTCAATAACATTTTTGTTGGATCTTGCAAGTTATAATGAAATGCATTTCGTTATTCATCGGAAAATAAATTGTGTATAACTTATAAAGAAAAGCTAATAATATATTAAAATCATTTATTATTTCTAAAAAAAAATATATTTTAACATTTCATTGTAAAAGTATGCTGATTTTGATCGTTTATTTTTCTTTCTTTTTAACTTTTTTCATTAGTTTTAGAATATTTACAACAATAATTAAAATATGATCAAAGTTTAAATATAAATCAAACGGATTATTACGTACATTTTGTCAATTGAAACTGTTTATTCTAATTTTGCTTATTTAGCTAATTTTAAAGATTCGTAAATTTTATTGCATTTTATTTGCGTGCTCATATCGGACATAAATGTAGAAACATGTCTTTCTTTATCTCTCTGTTTTTCAGTCTCATAAATAGTTATCAAAGTCATTCTGGGATCCATATTATACAGTGCATATGTACATAAATCCTGCAAAAGATATTTTTCATTTATAAATTAACTACACCAAAAAACTACAAATTATTAAAATAAATTATCAATTATTAACCTTTAAGCTTTTAGCATAAATTATTTTATCCATAGTGAGAAGTTCTGCATAGCGTTCTTTTATCTTATTTTGAATATTATCCCAATGGATAAATGGTTTATGAACAAACGCCTAAAAAATATAATCAGAAGATTACATTTTATATTTAATCATTTCTAATTAATGTAAATAATTATTTTATATTTACATATGGACAACTGACAACAATTGAAAACTCTTCAGACGTTTCAAATTTTCTGTCTGAATGTCTGTAACCTGCTCCTGAATCCTTCATTCCTCTAGAATCAAACACTATTAAAACAGCTACCACATCATGCTTACGTTGAAAACTTTGAATTCTAAAATGCATGGACAAATATTAGATCAAATTTTAATCTTATAAATTTTTGTAAGCATTAAGAATATAATTTACTTATGATAATAATCCACACTTTGTTTACTCATTATACTTCTCATTTCTCCTGGAGTAGCTTGTTGACTCAGCGTCATATGAAAATATAAAGAACATTTAGCTAATATGGCATTTTTTAATTTTACTAACCATTGATACAATGCGGGCTGTTGATTTGCCTTAAGAAATGTAGCACCAAATCCTAGTTTCCATGACTAAAAATATATATAGTTATTATATAAGTGTTATTAACAGTACATATACTATTTAATATAATTACAAACCTCTTTACTCTGTAAAGTTCTTTCCCATGCTGACATTCGAGTTTGGGCACCAAAAAGTGCCATAAGCGTAGGTAAAAATCTCCAGTGTTGTATCTCTATATGTGCTTCTGTTAATTGAACCAGTATTTCACATTCCAAACTAATAATTTAAGTTTCAAATTAACTATATATTTGTTCTTTTTCATATAATAAAGAACATAGTTTAGGAAGCACTTACGTCAAAGCAGTTTTGATAGCTGTTAATGCTAAATGAGTACAAGACAAAGAGTGGGCTTGTACTATTGCATTAATTGATTGTAATAACTCTTGATATTTCATTATTTTGCTGTTAATACTCATACTGTACATTTTTTCATAACTAAAATATATAATTTCTAAATAAGATTTATAATATAATAGAATATAGAGAAATATACTGTACTAACAAATCTATCAACTGGATCCTTGCCCCAATGAATTGATAAAGTTGACTAGAAACTTCTGCGACTATGGCACCAATGGTGTTTGTTCCTCTTGTCATTTCTTCTAACCTTCTAAGATCTGACTTTAATGACTCGTAGACAGTTTTTAAAGAATTCTAAAAAACGGTGTTTTGTCAACAAGGTCTTGTTAAAAATCTGATTATTGACATATTGTTACAAGAAACAAAATATATTATACATTTGAATAATATTTGTTAAAAAAGATTATATAAAGTACATACATCTTTTCTCAAGAAGCCTTTGTTTTTTGTATGAAGAAAACCAAGATCTGCATAAGAACGTTCTGTAAATGCTATTTGTGGTAAAGTCATCAACAACATTCCCCATGGACCCATTTGTGTTTGCCTGCATGATTCTCGCTCTTTTTCCTAAAGATTGAAAATATCATAAGTATATTTTCATTAAATGTATTTATCAGGACTGTAAAATAATAAATGAAAATTACTTACAACTAATTCTTTTGCCTTATCACAACACAGCTGTGTAACCTGAGTAAAAAAATTATTAAGAAATTCCTCTTCGTGATCCATTTTCTAATATTATTTACATTAACTATGAACAAGAAAAAAGAGATACAGAGTATTTTTTCATTCTTCCATATTGACATCTATCCACACCATCATTTTAATGTTCATTATTTATCACATCACAAATAAGACTTAGTTCTAAAATGTTATTTTCAGTTTATTATTCTCTTCTCTGTAAAGATAAGACAACATTTGACTTTATCTACAGTAGTTAATATTTTACTTATGGTAAATTATCAAATAACTATCTTTACCATCTTACGGTAACAAAATATACTTTCTAAAAAAAGTTTAAGCTAAAATAAGAATTTACAGTAAGAGCTATCTATCAGTAGATAATTACATTTTTGTCTTTAAAAGTAATATATCTCAAAAAAAAAAAAAAAGAATTGTATTCCTTTTTTTCTATCAAAAATAAAAACAAGATAAATTATCGATAAATTTTTAAACAATTTATTTTATAAACTTTAAACATTTCTTTTTACTAGTCACCACCAATTAAATTATATTTATGATGTTAAAGTTGAAAAACTTTTCCAAACAGAATGAAATAATGACACTGCAATATTTTTTAAAAGATGTTGATAAAATCATAGAATATTATTGCATGAACATATTTTATTGTATAAAACGAGAGAAAAAGGGCTGTTATGTAAACGATCGCGATCATAAGTCCTATACAATGTTTCCATCCCTTGTTCATCCCTTAAGAGAATTGTAAATACTGTCTATAATGGGGTGGCACGTAATTTCATTCTATTACGCTAGTATATCCAAAGGGAATACATAATGAAGCGAACTCTACACGCGTGCATATAATTGCTTCGACGAAGAAGTKGGACTCGATTGATCATTGTATTCCACCACAAAGAAAACCGAGACTAGACGAGATGGACGAAATTCAGTATCAATAYATCCGTTACAACAGATATCTTATGAACGTTCTCGGCCAATGGCCATATCAGAGTACCATAGAAAGGTTCCTCGTCTCTGCTCTATTCGTGCCAACTCTTGCTRTACAGTTAATTCTTCARGTAAAYATATTYAATWCTAAATATATTACAAACAATCAATTGACTARTTTAAAATTTGAAATTAAAATTTTGCTCGTACAAATAATTTAGTTTGTATATCAAATATATATCAAATATTATAAKTTATATTATTATTGTATATAGATTAAATATAAATTTTAGGGTGGTGGTTTAATATGTGCTATAGTTGACATTGATGCCTTCATGGAAGGTGTAGCTCCTTTTATCATAAGTTTTATGTGTTTAGCRAAGTATATCAATTTTGCTTATAATTTTGAGCAAGTACGTTCGTTATATTATCAAATTGATTATAATTCCTATGCATAAATATAAAATATATATAATCATTATATGTCATTAATCATGACATAGATGAAGGATTTATTTACGACGATGATAAACGATTGGAAATTWTATRTGAAATACGATTAYGAACGTARYATWCTCTGTCGATATTACGAAGTTGGAAAGAAAGCTACTTTTGCATATTCAGGTTTCGAAATCTTTATAMACAATTATTAATTTTTACTTACAAAAAGAAGAAATATATTTTTGATTGTATCATTTTRTTTAWAGCTRYTGTGTATGGTTTGATGTTACCWTTTATGATGGTACCAGGKTTRATAAATRTSGCTAATGTTTTGGGAGTTCTRAATTCAACGGATGACAAACCCTTGCTATTTCGAGTTGAATATTTCGTCGATGTGGAAACTTATTATTATCCTTTRTTAATACAATCWTATTTYGGTACKATTGGATATATTACGATTGTCGTTGCAATTGATACGATTAATCTGTTTTACGTCCAGCACGGTTGTGCATTATGTGAAATTTTAGGGTAAAGCTTTGTGTTTTTAAATATTTACATATATAGTATTTTTAATTGTTTCTTTTTTTTCTTAATAAATATCAGTTGCCTTGCAGATATTATTTAGAGAACATCGTAGAGGGTGACGATTTAGAAATAGATCTAACTCCAAACGTTCATGATGATAGAGCTCATTATGCTATGAAAGAATGCATTAAACTTCATAATCACGTTATACAGTTAGTATAGAAATCGGTATCACAGTTAGTTAGAAATATACAGTCTACGATAAGACTACTTATCGTACTTTGTAATTATATTTTTTATATTTTTTTYACTCTTACATAACTCAAAAGGTACGCCAATAAATTGGAAGAGAATTGTACGATTTCACATTTTTTTCAACTGATGTTAAACATGATTGGTATAAGTTTTACAGGATATCAGGTTGAGTAACTATTAATTTGATAATCTTATCTGTTTCATTTCTTTGTAAAAAATATTTTAACNAATTTGATAATCTTATCTGTTTCATTTCTTTGTAAAAAATATTTTAACTTACTTTTTTATTAGGCTGCCATGAAAATGGATGAACCAGACGTAGCCTTAGGTTATGGTGGTTTTACGTTAGGGTTAACGTTTGTTGTCTTCCTCGAAAGTTGGCCAGGACAGCAACTAAGGGATCATACTGATCGTATTAGCGAATATGCGTAAGACAATGATCATGTGTATTATTATTAGATTAGATCATTTTCAGTAGGATAATCCAAAAAGAACCATTGAAGAGATGATGCAAATGCTTGACCTATATTATGTTTTTTTTCCTGTTTTATTGTTTTGTCTTTTTTTTCTGAAGTGAAAACTTCTTTAGAATTTGGATGATTTGAAAATGGATTCGACGAAAAAGCAATTGGTATCGATAAACAAAACTAACAATCTCGATGAAACGAAATAACGGCTACTTTAGTTATAAGAAAAAAAAAGACAAACAAATATAAATCTATAGGATATAGCCTGCGAGAGAATGAGATAGAATACAGTATACAGTTTTTCCTATTCTCGATCTTCTCTTTATGCGGTGCTTCATAGTCTCTACTCCTGGCTACTAAGCATTGCACATGTGTGGTTTTGTGTGCAACTGAATACTGCGAAATGTATTAATTACAAAGTTTAAGTTAAAATTTTATCATTATTTATAAAAATATTACGTCTGTAGGCATACAACCCTCCAGACACACTTGAAATTGTTGCTAGCGAGCGCTATCTGTTAGGAAGAAATTTTTTCTGCCCGAAAGAGAAGCAACCCGTAATACACACCTGTATAAACACTTGTGACAGAAAAAAATTCCGTCCCAACAGATGGCGCTCGCAAGCAACATTTTCAAGTGTTTCTGACGGGTTGCATTCCTACAGGCGCCAATTTTTATAATTATTAAATATAATTACAAAAAAATTAAAGATAATATTATAATAATATTATATAATAAATTATTCTACTTTTGATACTATGCATTCGTCTCATTCTCTCGAAATTTGTTTTTTTTGTAGGTTTTACTTCTAACTTTTTTTGATATTTTAGTATCAAAGCAAAATGGTACCAAACATCGTTCGCTGCTAGAACAGACTTAAGAATCATGCTAATGAGATGTGTAAAACCGATTCAATTAACCGCTGGAAAATTATACGTCTTAAATTTAGAGAATTTTACTAGGGTAAGACAGTTAATACATCCCTTAGAATAAAAGATATTAATTAAAAAATTGTATTCATTCTTATCAATAATTAATTGTTAAATGATATTATTTATTTCAAGGTTGTCAAAACGTCCTTTTCATTTTTCACGGTTTTGCGCACCGTACAATGATTATTATAAATCTATGATAAATCCGAGAAAAATTTGAATCATTGTGGTAGATGAATACATAAAATAAATTATGATTTTCTTATCGTTAACTATGTATGAGTATTTGTGATTATAAATAAGCATATTAAGCTTTGACAGAAAAATACAATTGTTTTTTTAAATCTTTATAAATGCCATCTCTTAAAAGAAATTAATTAAAGACAAAAGTTATTCTTGAATATCTTTCTTGAAAATAAAATATATAATAAAAAAAAATATATTAAATAAAATATACTTTACAATTTTATATTAAATTTAATTAAATATAAAATTAATTTTATAAATATATTTTATATATTTAATATATAATTAATTTTATATTATACAAATATATTATTGCTTTATATTAAACAAATATACTTAAACAAATATAATTTATAAATTTTACAAACTATAGTATTACATTTTATACTCACGATGTTAATCACTTCGCTTACTGTTCTCGGATTTAACTAAAATTCGTTGATTGTCTTCACCCACGAATTTGTAGTCGACTTCGTTGAAAATCGATATCAAAGTGAAATAGAAAGAGAAAGACAGAAGAACAAGAAGAAGACGAAGTTTTAGAATGGATTTTCCCTAATTGCAAGTTTGAAGAAGATAAAAGCATCGAAAAGGGTTTAAAGGAACAAAGCTAATTACTCATATGTAGACCATAAAACGAAAAACCTCGAAACATCAAATACACACATATGTATACAGAAATATACACACATGTATAAAGTCTATCAAGGGAATGACATTTTCGCCATTATTAGTCGCATCGATTAGGCCATCATAGTATGAAGTGAAACACCCGATCGATTTTTCACAAGCTGCTACCCTACCTAATTATAGTTCGCTTATTTCCATCATCAGACATGTAAATCTTTCGTTATTAGGGCTTAGGTAACATTTCAAACAGAATGTTCGATTAGTTTTCGGTATTGCTTAACGTCAAATCGAAATTTTTGTTTGTCAAACGAATCGTACGATGTCGAACTCATCGAAATGGAAGACACGCAATTTCGTTATATGAAATTTACCAGAAGATTAATGCAAGTTGTTGGACAGTGGCCACATCAGAGTAAAATGCAGAAGATATTGGTTTCATTTATATATTTGCCATTTGTTGGTGCACAAGCTGTTTTACAGGTATTACTTATTCGATTATACATTTATTATATTATATAATATATATTTATATGTGGTAGGTTTAAGTATATATGTTTTACGAGTTATATTACAGCGTGAATTCTTATAACGCACCAATGATTTTACGACTTTTTCATATAACGCGATTACTCGTACTAACGTAAGTGTTATATTATAATAAAATGTAGGGAATTTATCACATCAAAAGATGTACTTTAATTGATCATTACAATGTTGTTCTTAATGGTACCGATATTTTATTTTTCAGCTTCGTAATTAATATGACTTTTTTTCATTTTATTTTTGGCAACCAAAATAATTTTCTAGAAAAAATAATATATACCCTAGTAGCACAAAATATTGAAAAATATTGAATACATGTGTATTTAATATTAAAAAGAGATTCAATGTCTTTTACACATTTTTACATAACTAATGCATCATTTTTTTCATGAACAGATTGTATAATGCACAAATTGTATTATTTTCATATCTTTATATCAATTCGTTCGAATCCTGATGATGCAAGTTTTTTTTTTCTAAACAAAAACATATATGTACCCACTTGTATCAAAATAATTTAATTAGAAATTCTTGTTTAGTTAAATCTTAATCGTTCATAATATGTTATCATGATATTTAATTATAATAATAAATTTAGATAGAACGTATATATTCAAAAAAATAATATTCCCAATAACAAATGTTATTTAATGAACTTTCTAAACATGAGTTTAATGTATGTATCCGATCATTGTCATAATTGTACAATAATTAACACATTAATGGACGTATTATTGAAGATGATGACTATGATATTGTATATTAAGGGTGGTGGTATGATTGCTGCATGGAATTACGACAGTGATATCGCTTTGGAAAATTTCGCGCCTTTCCTGGTCAGCCTGATGATCGTCGTGAAGATCGTTAACTTTATTTTCAACAGCGGCAAGGTATGTACCACCAGTGTGGTTATATATATATATATATATATGTATAAGAGATAAAGTTAGACCTCTCCATTAAATATTACCGTCATATAAAATGATATCTTCTCATAGATGAAAAAGCTTTTGGTGACGATGCAAGACGACTGGAGAATGGCCATGAAGAAGGACGAAGAGATTCGTATTCTTCGTGATTATTATTCCATTGGAACGTTGTTGAGCAAAGGTTATGCTGGTACAATCAGATTTATCTCTTATAATTCTTTACATTATCTTGGAATTGTATTTTTTATTATTTTTTTAAAATAATTTTTTGGAAAGAACATTTACATCGACATTTTGTTCTTTTTAATTATTTTATATTTATATTTCTAAATATTAGTATTATATTATGTATTATTTTTAAGAAATAAAATTAGGGTTTTAATTTTTTATTAGAATTTTTTTTTATAATAGAAGATACATATAAATTATGCTTGAAAAATAAATAATAATATATTTATTATATTATTATTATAATTATTAAAGGAAATATATGAAACTAATAATATCAATTAAAATTGTATTATATTAATATAAATATAATTATTAATTTATTAAATTATATTAAAATTACTTTAATAAAATATAATAATTAATAATATCATTAAATAAGATATTATTTAGAAATAATTTACAAAGATTTATTTATCTATTTGTAGAAACAATATGTATACCACGTATAATATTATACAATATATAAAATACATATTATATAAAAGTATTTCATTGAAATATTATATAATTTTAAAGATAATAGTTGAATTTTATTATTTTTTTTTTTTTTAGTATGTGTTTACGGATCTATGATGCCATTTTTAATGGTTCCAGTGATGACACTTTCATCACAATTCTTGGGTTTAGCTGGAAACGATACGGAACAATATCCATTGATATTTCATGCGGAATATTTTATTAACATGGAAAAATATTATTATTTCGTATTGATACATTCTTATTTTGGAACTATTGGATTTTGTGCTGCTGTTGTTGGAATTGATTCTATGTTTGTATTTTATGTTCAACATATTTGTGGAATCATAACGATATTAGGGTAAATATTATATAATATTGATTTTAACATAGAAAAAAATGAAAACAATTAATTTTAAATTGGTTATATAATTTTTGTTTGTTTTAATTTTGATACTTTCAGTAATCGTTTGGAAAATGTTATCAAGGACGGTGACATGAACGTCGATGTTTATCCAGATAAAGCAAATGATAAAACTAGCAAAATCGTTGGAGATTGCGTTGTATTACATAATCATATTTTACAGTTAATATCAATTAAGGAATTAATGTTAAAATATACGTTTGTGTTTAATACTTGTTTCATTTTGTTGTTTCTTTTTAAGATACTCTCAAACGATCGAATCGGCGAATACAATATCTTTTTTTGTACAACTTGGACTTAACATGGTTTGCATTAGTTTCACAGGATTTCAGGTAAAATTTGTTAAATATTATTTTCAACTTTTACGAACGAATGGCAACAAGTACATACGTGTTCGTATGTGATGTTAATTATCTTTAATTAATAATAATTATTATTATATTATATGTTTATATAATTTTATATTTTATATGTTAATAATTATTATTATAATTATATGTTTTTTTTTCTTTAAATGAATAGTATTATTCACTTAATATAATAAATTTATATATTATATATAGTATTATATATATCCATATAATATTAATATAGTTATATTAATAATAATATCGTTATATTAAAAAAAAATATAAATTATATTATTAATTATAATAATAAAATTATTATATATAACTATATTATAACTAATATACTATAATAAAATAATACAGTTATAATATATCATATAACTAATTATATTATACCTATATTATTTATTAATAATAAATATATAATAAATAATACATTATCGAAGATACTGATTCAATCATCAATCAAAGATCAATCATTTCGGATTAAAAATGTCGTTATAAAAAAAATTGATAAATCCTTGAGAAAGAATTAATTTAAAACAACAACAAATATGCTATATCATACAAATGAATTATTTTTTTTACAACAATATTAAATATTAAATATTAATATTTTTCTTTATGATCAGGCTGTGATGCATTTGGATAAACCGGACGAAGCGTTTAGATATGGTTCATTCGCCATTGCACAAACTTGCCATTTGTTGTTCGAAAGTTTACCAGCTCAACAATTATATGATCATAGTATACGTGTATGCGAATATGCGTAAGTATTATTCTCTATAAATAATACATTTTTTGGTCTTAATTTGATGTTTAACTTTTATCATCAGTGCAAATGGAAATTGGTACCGTGCTTCATTGAGAACTAGAAAAATTTTAAATCTAATAATACTCAGAAGTCAAACACCCATTCAATTAACTGCAGGCAAATTTTATCATTTGAATTTGGAGAATTTCAGTGCGGTAAGAAGTAAATAAAAAAAATTATAGGAAAATGAATGATATAATAATCAATTTGTTTTCTGCGATAATGTTCGAACAAAATATTCACATCCCGTACAACGGATTATCATTAAACATTGTTGAAAATAATTATTTATTATTATTACATTTAATTAATTACTTTTTTCGTATAATGTTTAAGGTTGTACGAACTTCGTTCTCCTATTTCACAGTCCTCTGTTCAATGCGATGATCAACAAAACTGACCATAATTATTAGTTCAATCTTCGAGTAATGGATTAGGGGTTGGATCAGTGACAAATTACCTCAAAGAAGAAACATATTCTAGTTTTAAAATGATATATCATATATTAAATATGATAATTATGAATGTCATATGTATCTACAATTACTTAGTATTTTATTTACAGTTTTTCAATGCAGAAGTCACGATGGAAAAATAGTACGCGTGCCTTTACTGCCATATGTTTGCCTTCTCTAACTAATTCTTTTATAAAGATCGACGACAGATTGCCGAAATTTCAAAAAAGGAAGAGGGGAAATAGAAATCTATCATACGGGAAAGTTCTGCTCTAATTGGATCGAAAATTAGTTAGCTCCGATGAAAGGTCCAATAATAAAACGACCTTCTAGGATGATCATGATTTTTTAGTGGAATCAATGAAAATTTATTTTCAACTAATCATTATATATATTTCAATGCCAATTCATTTTTCTAACGATGAATTAGGTATATTTATAATTCCTAAAGATTATTTCAATCAAATGGTGTAAAAATAAAATGAGAAACAATTTTCTCGTACCCTTATTTACTACAATTTGAAATAATAGTACAAAAATTTCGAAAAATCCTAATCCTTAATCACATTGATAAAATCTGAAGTGAATTTTTGAGTAAAAATGATCGAATTCCCGTTAAGTGAAATCCCCCCATATTTGAATTCGTCCGTCCTTCCTTTCTTCCTTCCTTCCTCTTTTACAGAACACTTCATTTATCCTGAGATCTTTTAAAATAGAGCACCTTGCGAAGAGGGTCTTTCCTCAAGGTAAACCGTCGTCTTTAGATGGATATCGCTAATTGTCTTAAGGCAAATGCCTTTGGTAGCACGCGACCGTTGTACCCTCCACTCGACACCATTTTAAACTCCTTAGTCTATTCACTTTCCCGCCAACGAAAAGATTATCTTGGTATCTTCTTAGAATTTAAAGGGATTACCTCGAACGATTCCATCGATTCTACTCCCTTTATGTCGTCGGCCCTTTCTGTTTAAAAAAAAAACAAAAATGAACTATCGTAATAAATTATCAACGAACCGTAACAACTATACATATATATATATATAAATCCTGTGTTACAATATTTGTCTACTAATAACTCTGAAATTACTTAAAAAATCTTAATGAACATTTTTGTATTTTATGTCATTTGTTCCAACTTAAAATATAGGATAGTTTTATATCGATTATTTTGTATTTTTTATTGCAAATTTAAGGATTTATTATTTAGAGGTTATCTAGATCTCTAGGTTTCTGTAAGTATTCGATAGATGGCACTGTATTTCAATTTATTTCATGTACAACAAATTCTACAATTGCTTTATTGGTATTAATTTTATTGGATCGTTGATTATAACATTGAAATGATATTTTATTGTTAATAGTGATTAACAACTTATCGAACATTTCTATGAAATATTTATGATCCTTTTTTTTCACGTGTCCACGGTGTCTCTTTAAACTTCATGGAGTTTCTCGCAGGTACGTCATGAACAGGAAGCAGGCAGGATGTGTGGTGGCATTCTCGCTAGGAAGAGGAGTTCGCGAAGGGAAATGAAAGAATTGTGGAGAGGGTAGATAGAGTCGAAGGAGGAGTTGGACTGGGCCCACCAGGTGCACGTATTACCTATAAGGATGAGCACGAAACCAAGTGGGAACCATATGTTGATGCGGCAAAGAACACTCCTGGCACGCGCCACACTCAAACTCGAGCCTTTACACCGCGAAGATCTCATCGTGTTTTCTCTCTATCACTTTTTTCTTCTTTCACGAAACTTTCTTTATTTAGGTTTTCCCTTTCTTCTTTCTCCTTTATATTCGATAAAAGTGAATTCGAGAATACCGGAAGGAAAAGAAAGAAATCCAAAAGATTTCACGAGTTATATTGTGTGTCACAACTCTCATTGTGAGAAAGTAGAAAGAGGAAGGAAGATTAAAAAAAAAAAAAGAAAAAAATATGGCCAGGATACGAGTACTTCGATCGTGAAAGTGAAATTCGATTGAAGTTTCAAAGTGAAATCCAAGCTAAGCGATGTTAACGAAGGAAAAGCGTTCTCTTTGAACGAGAATATGTTCTGGGCATATTGATGATCATTTTTGAGGAAAAAAACCAGTGCATGTGCAGGATTTCAACTGATAATGGCTTTACTTTCTAACCATCATAGCGATTATCAATCCTGTTCTTCGGATATGCTAATGTCATCTTATCCGACATCAACTGGTAGGACATATGATTCACTATATCCCTCCCCATACAATTCACCAAATTGCGAACAAGTTAAAACAATCTATGGGGAAAATTATGTCTACAAAGGTGAATTAACCCCACGAAGAGAACTTGAAAATCTTGATTATGCTAAAAATTTGGAAGCTGAGTATTCGAGGACACCGGAGGGATACGAAAGAGGACCTTGTGGTGTTATGACACCCGTTACACCACAACGGTTAGTTTGTTCCTTTACAAGGATTCTCTTTCTTGTGTGTGTGTGTTGCTTGTTAGTTTCTTTTTTCTTCTTTCTATTTCCTAACGATACATTTTACAGGACAAAACTTCGAATAATTGAAAACTTATCGACGATAATCGGTAACTTTTTCTCACTTTCATTTATTCGTAGCACTAATCTTGTTTTGCACGTTATTTTAATCGTTCACAAATTTGATCACCTGTTGACCAAAAAAGAAATGTATCTCACGCACGATTAAATGTGCTGATTTTCAAATGTTTAAATGCATCATCATCATCATCGTCATATCAATGATTTTCACAGATACGATAGTCAACATCAAATTGATCATGGAATGTCACCTAGGACGACTTTGTATGAAGACAATTCAATGGAATATCATTCGACGTCTTATTGTTATGAGAATATTGTACAAAAATCCAAATATCAATCTGTAGAAAGTGACAAAACACTTTGTACGAACACCGAGTCGCGGAGAAATTGCTGGGATGGGATATCTTCGACAGTACAGGTTCGAAACATTTGTTATTAACAAATTCTCAGTGTTCAACAGGCTTCACTCAATCTAAAAATATCTAACAAGAATTATTTTTGTTTCATTTTAACACTTTCGTGTGTTTTTACCATTTTTCTGAGAATTAACAGCACACACGGTTTCTGTTTTTTTTTTTTGAGCTGAGTCACCCATCATCCATTGCTTGACCTTTATATTTTATTTAAATTATTTTTAATTGAAAAACAAATATTTGTGTGTCGGGATTATAGAAAAATCAATCATCACCAACGACACAACCGAGAAGAGGAAGACGACGTTCTAGCGACGTACCACCATCACCGAGTGTTTTAAAAAGACGCAGATTGGCCGCAAATGCGCGTGAAAGACGTCGCATGAATGGTTTGAATGATGCATTTGACAAATTACGCGAGGTTGTACCAAGTTTAGACAGTGATCATAAGCTAAGTAAATTCGAGACACTTCAAATGGCTCAAACTTATATCACCGCACTATGTGAATTACTTGAGAAACATGATGGAAAAAGATAAAAAAAGGTGAGCTACATTGAAAGATTGTAATATTTGATAATTTAATAATTTACAAAATTTGTATTAATAGTTATTAACATTAAACTTACATTTCATGTGTATTATGTATTCCCACCGTGAGTCATCAAAAAACAAAACTATTTATCTTAATGTAAAATAAAATTTTAGGTAATTGGATAATGAAGAAAATTTTTATACAAAAAGTTTATTTATAAGTGAATAATGTACATTTTTATGCGTTTATTTTTTATACATTTTTATGCATATAAAAATTAATTAATCTATTAATTCTACTTGATAAATATGTAATTTGGAAAAGGACAAAATTAATTGCAATTTTGTATTCTCACAGTGAGTGATCAAAAAACAAAACTTAAAAATAACAAAACCATTTATCTCATTGTAAAATAAAAATTTTAAGTAATTGGATAGTGAAGAAAATTTTTATACAATAAGTTTATTTATAAATGAATAATGTACATTTTTATACATTTATTTTTTATACATTTTTATGCTTATAAAAATTAATTAATTCGATTAATTTTACTTGATAAATATGTAATTTGGAAAATGACAACATTATTTGCGATTTTAAAATTGCTATGACTGATTATAAAAATAGATTATAATATGCGATAATTTAACACGATATTATTATTTAAGTATTACGTTTTTAATAAATATTATAGATTAAACGCGCACACAATAACAAAAAAGAAAAAAACTGATTGTATTAGTAGTGTTACAATATGAAAAGAGAATTAATAGTATGACAAAGAATGTGCCATTGAATGTTTGTTAATACTTTTGATTTGGTTTGTTCACTTGTATCACTATGTTCCTTTTTATCATTAATAATAATTCATTAATTTAATATGTCTTAAAAAATGTAAATATATTTAATTGTAAGTAATATTTGATGTAATATCTGGTCCGTATCATGTGTGTACTTAAATGTATAACAATTTTTAATTTTAAATTAATACAATAATGTGTGTAATTAATGAAATGATGTCCAAAGATTAATTATTAATAGAAAATTAATTTAATAATCACATTTTTACACGATGTAATAACTTTTTCGTCCAATGATCTATAAAAATTATGAATTTCGTTTAAAAAAAAATTCCGTCCCATGTTCGTAAGATAAATATATATATATAAATATGTATAGTTATGTTAAAATGTACTTTTTTAAAGCAAATGACAAAGTATAATACTTTTCTTTTTTAGATAAATAATTAGAAAATTAAGAAAATAATATACAGCTTCAGACCAAAGAAGTATTTATGCAAAATCATAATTTCGTGTATCATCACGATTAGTTTTTCTTTCCGAACAGTATTCTCGATAGATTTTAAGCATCAAAAAATATTGTATTAATGTAAGATCATTATTATTATTATTATTATTATTATAATTATTATTATTATTGTGTAAGAAATTTTGTAAATAAAGTATCGTGAGAAACGAATAATATTGGTTTAAGATATCATCATCACTCAGATGAAAACAGCTTGCAAACAATAAGGAGATTATATTTGGAAAAGCAATTTCAAACCCTTTTTCTATTTGTATCTTTTTTCTCTGTAAAAAAAAAAAAAATATGAAAAGAAGAAAATTTCGAATCAAAAATTTAGGACAGCAGAAATATAGGTGGAGGCAAACAGATCTATCATTTCTCAACAGTCGTGGGCGGACAGCGAAAAAAGTGAACGACAATGGGGGTTGAGAAGTTCGTCAAGTAATTTGCACGATTATTTTCCTTTTTCATGGTGTCAAACGTTCTACTATACTGTAAAGGATTTTGATTGAAATATTGTTCTTTCTAGGTGTTATTTCATTTCATGTTATATGCTATTAAAAATCAAATAAAATGAAGAAAAAGAAGAAGAATTTCTTTTCGTGAAGTGACAACGTTATTGTTCGAAATAAAAGGGAAAAAAAGGGATACCAAAGAAAAAAAAAAGAAAAAATGAAAAAAAGGTGGAGAAACAAGCAGGACGGATTTAACGAAGCGGTTAGCGGAATTTCTGGGCGTTACTTGAAATGGTCAAACGAGAAAAAGGATCTTACAGAAAATCGATTATAAATGCGATTTTCTCTGACCGTAACCTTTCCACACCCATTTGATTCAAAAAATAAATTAACAAACATAGATGACACATGAGATTTCCTTTTTTTCTATCGTTTATATTTCAACTGTTTTTAAATAATTTTAATACTCTGTTAAACCAATATTATTTCAAATATCTAAATGAAAATGTTTATCAAATGTTTTTCTATATCAAAAAAATGTCGTGGTACCATTTAAACGTTTAATATACATATATTTGTATGTAAATATAATTAATTATTATTTATATATTAATATTATATATTTATTATATAATATTACTTACTTATAATTAAATATTATAATAATATAATATAATATATAATAAAAAAAAAATAATAATATAAATATATATTAAAATAATAAAAAATAAATAATATTTTAATAAAAAAATAATAATATAATATATAATAATAATTAAATAATATTTTAAATATATTAAAATAATTATATTAAATTATATATTAAATATTATTAATATTTATACTGTAAATATAATATTATTTACAATATAAAATATAATTTAATATATAAGTATATAATGGAGTGTATCACCTCAAAGTTAAATTAATTATTTTAGTATAATTATTGTAATAAAGCTTGACGATATTTTATTAATTGAAAAATCGTCAAAAAATAAAAACTTTACTTTAGTTTTCGTTTAAGCAAACTGAAAAGTATTCTATTGAAAATATTGATTTAAAGAATCGTGAAAATAATCGATGAGATGTAATAATTCGTCATGGTACGTTGCAGGTACGAAGATACGATGCAACCTTCGATCGAAAAATTTTGTGACATCTCGCTACCCTTATGGTGTTAAGAAAGAAATAAGACTAGACGTATCGAGGTTTACCACCATCTGACACCGTATCGAAAGAATTTGCCACCAATCCTTTCGTTCTAACCCATAAACTCGTTAAACCCTTTTCTAATATCACAAACATCCCCCTTTTTTTATTATCTTATTTATTATTTAATTTTTTTTTTCAAAATCCACACAATTTTTCTTCTAAAAATATATTATCATTAAAATTGCATAATAATGAAATAATTGTAAAATAAAAATTTTTTCTAATATTTTATAGATATGAAAATTTATGAGAATGAACAATTGCGTTGTCTTAAGTTATTATTTTTTTTTTTATATAGTCATTCATCCAACGAAAGTTAAAGATTGCTGAAAAATAAAAGACGAATTAGTCGCGGCGCAGTCTCTTAGTTATAGGCCGACAAAAGGAGTTGGCTATTAGATTAGTCCTCGAAAGAACTTGCCGACAAGATGACTAAGGTATCCTGCTTACCAACTTCGAACTCTTCTAACTGAAGACGTTGTCGTTTAGAAGCAAACGAATCCGAGAAAACTGTTTTCTCAACGGCTTTACAGACTTCCCTGCATGGTGATTTCAATGCGTGGAACCATCGGACATGTTTTTTTTTTCTTATCGTCGAAAAGAAATGATGGGAATGACTGTTGAATTATCTCGTTGTGTGTATTAAATATATATATAAAATATAATTATATATTTAATTATTATACAATTTATTATACAAAAATTATATAATCCTTTGAGTGCTATGGACGTATATATGCGTTTGATAAAAATTACTAACGTGGTTGTTCAATGCATATACTACGTGTTTGTTAATATTAATGTAAAATAATGTAATGTTTATGTTATTTAATTAAATTATATTAGATTATATTAATTTATTATATATTAATTTAATATATTATTTATTACATATTAAATTATTATATTATAGAATCAATAACTTTAATTATTAAATATAATTTATTATTAGAAAATCTGGTTAATAATAAGTTATTTCGTTTCTACAAAATATTTTAGGTAAAAGTATTCACCACTCAAAGGGTTAATTATACAAAAAGAAAAAAAATAATGTTTCTAAAATAAAAATTCAATTTCATAATTATATTTAAATATTAACAAGATAAAATTTATTTTTGGAACAAAATAATAAATAATAATAAATAAAAAAATAATACTAAAATAATAAATAAAATAATTTTTAGATACAACAAAAGTTATTAAGTTAACAAAAGGTTTTTTTTTTGAGCGGATCGTGTTATTCAATTTCATAATTATATTTAAATATTACCAAGATAAAATTTATTTTGAAATGATACTTCAAAAATTTTTAAAGTTAACGAAATGTTTTTTTTTTAGGGGAACATGTTATTTGACAGTAGGGGAAAAATAGGGGAAATATTGATCTAGTAAGATTTCTTAGTTGACTTCAGAACGGGACAACACTTAAAACTATTTCACTCGTGTTCCAATGACCGTACTAACTGTTTTAACTGTTAACTGTTAAGTTTAGTTTTAGTTTTTTTACCCTCTATTGACGGCTGTCATTGTGCTAGTGGTTGCACGATGTATAATACTTTGCACTTGTATGTGAGTATTAGGTAGTGTGTATACTGTACATTGTACTGTACATCGTTTCTTGAAAGTTTTTTAATCAATGTATCTCATTCAATATTAAGATTACAATTTGTATAGTCACGTGTAACATGTATTTTCATTTTTATACTTAAATTAAATTCTTCTCTAATGTTTTTTAAATAAATATGTCGAAAAAAATAATTAATATAATCTAATAGAAAATTAATAAAATGACCAATATAAAAACTTGAAGATATTTCACGTCAATCGCGTGTGTGGATTATTTAATTTATTTTTTTTTTTTACAAATTGACATATGTATGTTTCACACATGTATATATATATATATATGTAATGATTTATGAATATATTTGATTTACAAAGATTTATTTGTAGATAGACACGTCTTTGTTATTTAATCGATAACATATGTTATGGGAATTAATTTTATGGCGAATGTATTTGATTATATT